ACTGTGATTGCGCCCCTCCTGCCGTCTCATTATGGCTTCTCCTTTGTCTTTGGATGTGGGGTATCTTTTTTGTTGCGTTCTAGTGTCTTCCTGTCGATGATTGTCCAGCAGCTAGTTGTGATTCTGGTGTTCTTGCAAGCGGGAGTGAGAGCACGTCCTTCTACTCTGCCATCTTGGTTCCAATCTTGCAGTCCTCCCTTTCTTGAGCAAGGATTAAATTAGCCTTTTACATGTTAAGATTGAACAATCGTGATTTAACATTTTGAATATAGAAGCTAAAAATAGGTATTGTGAGGTTACGAGGTTAGGAAACAGAAGCTGGTCTTTCCCCTAACTTCTGATGTTCTATTTATTTGCTGTTTTTGTCTGTACACCACCTCCACCATCTTTTTATTTCAGAATTTTTCTAAGCTACAGACAAGTTAAAAGAATAATACAATGAACATCCATATACTCTTCACCTAGATTCGCCAATTGGTAGCATGTTGCCTTCTTTATTTCTCTTTATATATACCTTTATGAATAATTTTTTTGATGCAACATTTGAACATAATCTGTAAGAATCATGACAGTTCGCCCCTCAATTCTTCAGCATGCATCTCCAAAAAAGAAGGATATTCTTCTACAAAACTACTTGTAAAGGGAAGTACTCAGATTCTTCCTTCCTGTGTAGGGAAAACCAGTTCCTCCCTCTGGTGTGTTTCTCCCCATGAGTATTGTTTACTACTGACATGAAACACGTCATTTCTGACATTTATGGTCAGATGTGTGGAGTCTTTTCCCCGCACCAAGTGATTCACTGACACCAGCTGGACATCCTACAATTTAATTCAATTCTGACACTACCCAGAGATAGTATCAGATCTCACAGGTTAAGGACTCAGTCCCACAAGACTGCGCCCCTACCCCGACCCCCAGATGCCAGTTGCAAGCCCTGATTGTCACCTGTGCTTCTGACCAACCGACTGTAGATCAGAGGTTTTAATGACCCCTCCTTAGGTCTGATTAATTTGCTAGAGCAGCTCACAGAACTCAGGGAAACAATTACTTACATTTACCAGTTTATTAGAGGATATGATAAGAGGTACAGATGAACAGCCAGATGAAGAGTGAGGTTTGGGAGGGTCCTGAGTGTAGGAGCTTCTGTCCCCGTGGAGTTGAGGGTGTCACCCTCCCAGTGTGGTGGTGTTCACCAACCTGGAAGCCCTCCAAACCCGATACTTTGGGGATTTTGTGGAGACTTCCTCATGTAGAGACGATCAGTTGATAACTCCATGTCCAAGACCTCTCTGGAGGACGGGGGAGGGGTTTGAAAGCGCTAAGCTTCTAATTGCGACTTGGTCTTTCTGGTGACCAGCTCACCCAGGCGCCTCCGCAGACTCACCTCCTTAGAACAAGTGGTGCTCCTATTGCTCCTGTCACTTAGGAATGTGTAAGGGCTTTAGGAGCTCTGTGCTGGGAACCAGGGGCAGGGACTAATGCCTGTATTTCTTATTCACAATAGTGGTTGTGTGAATTTATTATTATTATTATTATTTTTGCGGTACGCGGGCCTCTCACTGTTGTGGCCTCTCCCGTTGCGGAGCACAGGCTCCGGACGCGCAGGCTCAGCGGCCATGGCTCATGGGCCCATCCGCTGCGCGGCATGTGGGATCTTTCCGGACCGGGGCACGAACCCGTGTCCCCTGCATCGGCAGGCGGACTCTCAACCACTGCGCCACCAGGGAAGCCCGCGTGAATTTTTTTCATCGTGTTATAATCCACAAAAGTTGCTCAAATTATCTCAAATTTAGCCAGTGGGAGACCTTTCAAGATGGTTCCAGAGGTGCAGTGAATGTAATGGATATAAATTAAGCTGAAAAGTTGGGGGCGCTGTGGCCAGTGTAGCATGTCAGTTTCCCAAGACTCTGGGATTTTCTTTTAAGGCCTCAAGTTCTCCATTTTGAAATGGTGATAGTGATGTTAATACTTCTGACGAAGGCACTCTGTCAAACACTTGGTGTGCATTTTCTCATTTAATTCAAGCAACTGTTATTATCCCCATTATATAGATGAGCCCAGGGGGGATTTAGGGAGACCAGGGAGGTCCAAGGTCACAGAGTGACTAAATGAGGGAGCCAGATTTTTAAACCCAAAGCCTATTGCTTTCACTGCTGTGCTAATAATGTAGTGTAAGTGTAGATGCATTCAACTCATCTAGGACAGACTTGCAGGGGGAAACATCAGCTTGGAAAAGAGGTAAAGAGGATTTACCTCTTCATCTTTCTTCTCCAAATTACTTTCAGAAACTACTCTTGGTGGGCCAGTCAGACCCCAATTGCTTAGATAAAAATAGACCAGGAGTTCTTTAGTATATTTAAGGAAGTTAAGGAAAATTAAGTATTATTTAAAAATTATATCTATTTATTTAAAAAGTAATATAACCACATTCAGAAAAATTGAAATTCATGGAAAAAGATCACCTGGCTCTCACACATAGTTTTGACAATTACTTTGGACATTTTTATGTTTCTTTTTAAAAATATTTTTTGAATTCATCTAATTTTTAGATATACTCATAGTATCTCTAAAATGTTGTCTCCTGCTTTTTTTATCCAGTAAGGAAAAAAAAAATTTTGATGATGAAAACCTAGTAGAACTTTCATTCCCATAAGAGTTCATCACTGATTTTTATTACCCCAATTAAAAAAAATGGTCTAGATAAAAATGTACCAAGTCCTCAGGGAAGGAATGGACTAGAGGGAAGGGCAGATGTATAAACAGCAATTCTGAAAGGGGAGGGGAATATACACTGCACAGTGGAAGCATGGAGGAAAGGCAGATAATGGTTGTGCCTTGAGGAAGTGGTTCACCAACAGGTGAAATTTGAACTGAATTTTTTAGGATTGATAGGACTTGCAGAGGATGGGCAAAGAGATTCCTGTACAAGGTACAGGAGTATACAAAGTCAGAGAGATGGCAGGACTTTGACTTGGTTAGGGGTGGGCAGTTGGAATTCAGGAAATCAGAGGCACTGGCAGCAGGGAGGCTGGGCAGGTGGGTGGCGATTAGATGGTATGGGCCTAGACTGCTTTGTGAAGGGGGTTAGACTAGACCCATTAAAGCCGTTGGGTAATTTTGAGCAACAGAGGTCCTGCACCTTATTTGCACTACAGACAGCTCCCTCTGATGTTGGTGTGCAGGATAGAATCCATCTGTGAACGACAAGAGTCTAGAAGGTGATGTGGAAGGAGGATATGGGTGGTATCAAGAGCAGTCTGAAACAGATACTATGTTATATGGTAAATTCACATCTTTAGTGTACAAATTATAAAAATGTCAGATGTACTAGCAACTTTTAAAACTTGACATTTCTCAACTTCAGGAGTAATGTGTAGGGCTGCCATGTATAGTTGTGCAGGTTGTTCACTGCACAACAGTGCCTGGCCAAGGAGTGGGGGCAAAATCTGGACCCACCTCTTGCCAAGCTGTGAATCCTGGCATGGACTGTATCCACCCAGAGGAAGCTCCATTTTCCAAATTGCACAAAAACAATGTGGCTAGCAGCAGCCCCAATAACTCCCTTTTCCAGGCTTAGGCCTAGAATGAATTTCTTTAGAATAATCAACGAGATAAGAAATCAAGACACCAAGAGTCAGAGAACAGTTAAAGTCCCCATTGTTCTCTACCAAATTCATTGTGTGTGTATCGATAGTTCATTCCTCTTTATTGCTGAGTAGTATTCCATGGTAAGGTTACACCAGAATTTGTTTATTCATTTACCTCTTGATGAGCGTTTGATTTTTTTTTCCTGGTTTTGACAATTGAAAATAAAGCTTCTATGAACATTTGTGTACAAGTCTTTGCATGAACATATGCTTTCTTTTCTCTTGGGTAAATACCTAGGAGTGAAATGGCTGGATTGAGTGGCAGGTGTGTACTTCACTTTTTAAGAAACTGTCACATGGTTTCAAAGTGGTTGTGCCGTTTTACTTTCCCACCAGCAATATTTGAGAGTTCAGTTTCCTCCACAGGAACCAACACTTGCTATTAGCCCACAGTGTCTGAACTATCGACTTGTATGAAGTATGAGGAAGAGTTTGTAATAATCTGATTAATTTAGTCTGTGTAGACCACCCAAAAATGTATTCAGATTTAAAAATCAACTTTGGGTTCTACACAATCCAAATTTACTGAGAAAAAGGGTTGAGTAAATGCAATCATTACCACAGAATCCCCTCCATCAGTGTGGTTAAGATCTTTTAATATAGTGAGAAGATGTTACTCTGTCATTCTCAGTGTCTATGAAGTGTGTGACTCCACCTCCACCTCGCCACCCAACCCCATTCTGGGATCAGAATCCCCTCTGAGACACTGTAAGCTTCTAGTGTGGGTGTGAATCAAAGGGAGCTTGTCAAAAACACAGATTTCTGGGCACTTTTCCCTGGATTCTGACCCAGTGATCCGGGCAGGGGCCCAGGAATCTGCATTTTCACAGACACTGGAGTTAAGTCTGTTGGACACACTTTGGTACAGCTAACTTATAATTTCTGGGACCACTTGTGTGCAGTGTAGTGGTATTAAGCATTTTCAAGTGTAAGCTACTGGGTTTCAAGTGAGGTTTTTGGTCAGTAGCCTGGTCAGTACAAGCCTCCTCATGGTTTATGTTTACTTTTTGCATTTTTGGGTTGTTCATATATTGTAACTAGACTGACTCTTACCAGGATCGGGATCATTTCAACACTTCCCTTCCTCCCTGCTCTTTTTTTTTTTTTTTTTTTTTAAACAATAAGCCAGAACCCATGATAAAATCTATGGGAGTAAAATAATATTTTCATGTGAGACAAATCTTTTTTTTTAAGAGTAACTACTTATTCCCTTAAGAGTTTATATGCTGAGTTCATTCACTTGAATAGTGCAGTCACCATCAAATATGCCGTTGGAATATTTGTTTCTGTTAATCATACAGTGAAGTTTAAATAAAACATTGCTTTTCTCTTTTTAAAATTTACTTTGCTTAGAACTATTTTGGTGGAAAGCTCTCTGCTCAAGGGAAAATGCCTTGGATTGAATATAATCATGAAAAAGTTTCTGGGACAGAATTCATAATTGACTTTCTGGAAGAGAAACTTGGAGTGAATTTAAACAAAAACCTTGGTCCTCATGAAAGAGCCATCTCCAGGGCAGTGACTAAGATGGTGGAGGAGCATTTCTATTGGTGAGTCCCCACGGGCGCCTGGGTGGGTGTCCAGGGCCTGTCCCTATCGTTTGGAGTAAGCTAAGTTGTTTCACTTTTCAGACACTACCCCCCGCCTTTTCCAAAGTGTTCTACATTCTGACTGACTTAGGGGTCAAAGTTACGACTGTTAAGTTTCTAGGTATCTAGAGCAGGGTTGACATTTTCTGTGGAGGCCCAGCTAGTGCATATTTTAGGCTTTTCGAGCCATATGTGTCGGTGGCAACTACTTAACTCTGCAGTTTTAGTGCAAAAGCAGCCGCAGATTGTACACACATGAATAAGTATGACTGTGTTTCAATAATACAACAAAAGCACTGAAATTTGAATTTCATTTAATACGAAATACTATTCTTTTGATTTTTTTTTCCTCAACCATTTACAAATATGAAAACTTCTTAGCCCATGGGCTGTATAGTTGGCTGACCCCTGATCTAAGTCACTGAGGTGAGGGAGATATTTCAGTAGACTGGGCTTTTTACCAGTACAAACTGCTGAATTAAAGTGATAGTACATCAGATACTCAGAAGGAACAGAAGACTAAGGCAGGACAGAAGTCTCAGGTGACATGAATTAAGCAAGCTTTGGCAGAGTATCGTCAGTTTTCCTTGGATGACAAGAGCTTCTCTATGATCCAAAAGTAAAGCATACTACTATTTTCTGAGCAACTTTGCCCTGATTGGCTGACTGCTAGCCTGTACTTTGCTCTGATTGGCTGACTCCTATCCTGTACCTTGCCTTGATTGGCTGACTCCTATCCTGTACCTTGCCTTGATTGGCTGACTCCTAGCCCGTATTCCCTGAGTACGAAGCCTAACACACACTGTGTGGATGAGGTAGGTACCCCTGTGCTGCACCTGGCGTGCTGGCTGTGACATCACCTGAGTTAAGCAGACTTGGTTCTTCTTGCTTTACAAGCTCATTGATATGTGGGTTTCTTCTTTTTATTTCATCCGTCTTCTGGAGTTTTAGCATCTTTCTGTACACTCCAATAGATAAGAGACGTTTTCTCCCTGATTTCTGCACTTTATCTTGTTCCAAAGATTTAATAAAGAATTGCTGATCCCACTTTTTTTGGCATTAATTGTTACTCCTGGGTTATTGCTCATCGAGTAGCTTTTACCTCTTCCACCAAGGGATTCACTCGCTGTGGGGTTGATTGTAGAAGGTTTTTTGCCATCACATTCCTATTTCCTCCATTCAGCTCTCTTTCTAAATGGAAAACTTGTCTCTTGGATTCTGTGACCGTCTGTTTTTCGTTTTCTTTTTCCACTTTCAGTTCTTGCTCACTTTATTCCAGGGCTGACCTGAAGCACCACTTTCTTCCCCTTCTCACTGCAGAGGGTGGGAGGAAGGAGGGAACCAGACAGAGTGGAGTCAGGGGTGCAGATCAGCCTGGGAGTGATCACAGACTCCGTGTGCCCAGAATGAACTCGGGTCTGTTCCTTATAGTACCTGTGGAGAACTGCTGGCCCTCCCCTCTCAAAGAGTGCAGGGGTTGCAGTGTGGACCAAAATGCATGAGTGCAGGTGACATGCTTAGTCTCAGGGAAAAACCTTTGAGGGACAGAGTCGTCTCACCTGATTGCCAGGTTCCAGTCCCCGCTTTGCAGCGATCAGGGGAATGAAGAACCAGCACAGGCACCCAAAAACCCTCGGTGTCTTCCCTTGCTGAGGCCCCCGTCAAAGTGCTATATTGTTTAGTGGATGGGCCCATTAATGTGGAGAGCTAGCACTTTGTCAGCTGCCTGAAAAGCCGGAAGCCTTACATTTAAGTTGGTATTTTTCTACACTCTTTGTTTTCTGTAGTGGTTCATAAAATTTATATTCAAGTTAGAAAGATTTTGATCCAGCTAGATTCCCAAGTACCACCCATCACTGCTTCTTGCTCTGGGTATTAGTGACATTTTATATATGTTTACTCTCTGGTAGAGGTTCATCTCCTGCTTTTCCCTTCCGTTCTCTTCCTAATGAGAGGGTCCCTGCTAACGAGATGGGGTGTGGTGGGGAGGGGTGGGAGAGAGAGGTGGGAGGTGGTACCCTGGTGGGGAAGAATCTTAATTTTACAGACTACAAACCCCCAAGTGCTTGGGAAGTTGCTTAGGTCATTTGTAGATTCTTCTTCTTTTAATTAAAAAAATGCTTTTTTTGGGTTAGCTACTGTTTCTCATTTGTGTCTCAAGGGTTAATTTGAGGAACAGGTAGTGAAGGTGGGAGGTCAGGTCTTGACTGAGATATAAATATCCAGTGAACTTTCAAAAAAAAAAATCCGAATTCCTCCAATTTCTTTTAGTCTCTAGTAGTGGAAGGAAAAACAAACTTTCTCTGTTTCATAAACTTTCCAAACCTTTAGCCAACTTCCTGCTTTAGGGAGATCCCGAACAGGCTTTCCAGAGAGCTCTAAATCCCAGGGGAGAAAAGACACCCCCCCCCCCCAACCCCCGCCTCCCAGCCCCACACTGCCCGTGCAACCCATGGTAAGAAAATGTGTACCTGTGGAAACCGGGGGCCAGCATAGGGAACTGACCACAATATGTAAGAAAATATTACAAGTATGAGCTTTCCATGAGAGCTTGTTAAATTCTGACCATCAGTGTGCTCTAAGGTTGTGTTTGTACTTACAGAAGTGGAAGAAGTGGAATCAATTGTTTGACTCAGTTGATTCAATTATCTGGAGTTTTCAGATATGTTTATTTTGGTCTGAAACTTTAAAAATACTCCACTTCACATATTATTTTCTGAAAAGCAAAGACATTGGAAGGCTGTCATTATATAACATCACATAATTCTGAAGCTCTGAGTTAGGTCTGTTCAAATAAGCACACTCAGCTATAAAGTGGTTTTTCCTGAACTTGAAATCCATACACTTGCATTATACAGCTATTATTGAAGATGAGGGAGATGGGTTTTCATTCCCTTTGTTCCACTGGATGCTCAAGTTAGATCTAATGCAGGGAAGCCGGTGTAAAAGCGAAGTCTGATTACTGGAACGAAATTGAGTTTTGGTAACAGAAGCTATAGCTGCTTCTGTGTGACATACTGCCCCCTTGTGGACACTACTGAGTGTCTTGAGCGCCTTACAACCCCATAGGGACGTGTGCAGGGCACCGTTGTCAAACTATCTATAGCCATAACAGTTTTACCCATAAAAATATAGGGGTTAGAATAGAGGATTCAAATTCATTTTTAGGTTGGCCATAATCTTTAAATTTTGATTTTGGCTTTTGGTGAATGGGAGAGTTGGGATGCTTTAATAAAATGACTTACCCAAGATCTCCTTCTCTAAAAGCCAGGAGACACTCTCTCCCTGATTACAGCTCAATTGATGTGGTCCCTTCTCCTTTCTTTTTTTGTCCCCCTCCACCCTTACTTTTAGATGTAGTGAGGACCCCTGTTTGGAGAGGCTAATCTAATGCCTGTGAAACGTGGTGAAATTACAGAAGCATATCACATGCTCTCGCACCCTTGAGCATTTAGAGTACAAGTGAAAGATGGCAAGGATGTAGCATGACCCAGAAAAAAGGCGTTCTCATGGTTGGGAAGGCCATATGCTAAGACTCATTTGTCAAACAGTAGTTTGCCATGGTTTGCAGTTTCTCACATGTGTACTAATAGTCACTTCTGCTATGGGCCAGGCCTCCTGTTAGGTTATAATGAGGGATATTGTCATTAAAACATCAGAGGTCTGCTTTTCTTTCCTGCCTTCCTAATCTGCTTTAAAAAGGTTTGAGCAGGGTTTACTCTTCTGTTCTAAGATAATCAATATTGAAGAAAGAAAAAACCTCTCTGACCTCATTTTGTAGGAGAGACCAGATACATCAGTTGCGATAACGAAAATGAGTATCAACTTCCTGAGAGAGGCTCTCAGAATGAGAAATTATTTTAATTGCTCCACCTGGTCTAGTTCCCAAATTGGCCTTCCCCGTCCTCTCCAGTTAATAATTCATGATTCCTTGTGCAGTGGGCCTCTTCCCAGTGGAGAGTGAAGAGGCAGATCCCAGAAGAGAATGGTGGCAGCCCCTTCTTCATTCTCCATAGACATCTCTCTTTCCATTTCTCTGTGTAAATATTGTCGGCCCTTAGAAGCACTACTTAGCAGAGGCTGGCTCAGAAGTGAAGGCTTTTCATTCAATCGATAATTCATTCTTTCAGCAAACTTAGTGAATGGATGACTACCCGTAGCTGGCACTGTGCTGGATGGGGGCGGGGAAGCAAGGTGACGAGATGCCGTCCCTGTCCTCAGGTGGCTCACGGGGGAGGCGGGCACCCAGCTTGCATAGTGGCCAGTGCCGGGGGAGCGTTTGAAGAACCGAGGCCAGGCAACCAGCACCTGCCGGAGCGATGAGGGGAAAGCTTCCTGAGGAGATGGTGCCACAGCAGAATCTAGGGCCGATCAGGGTGGCAGGCGAAGGGGCCAGGTGCGAGGGGAAGATGAGACACCCCAAGAAAGGGGTGTCTGGGGGGGCATGTGTAATTCTGTGTGGTGGGTGCACGGGAGGTGATGCAAGTGTTGGGGTCCGGCTGTGGGAGGGGTGGGAGGCTGGCGTGCCAAGCTAAGCAGCTATGGGGAGTTAATGGATGACTCTGAGAGGCAACAAGGTACCATTCAATTTGTGTTTTAGGAGGTTTTTTGTGGCTGCCTCGGGGGAAATGGATTTCTGGAGGGCCTTGAGGGGCTGTCAGGAGACCTGCAAGGAGGCCACTGCCCTCAGGGTTGAGCAGTGGTGCAGCCTGCATTGCAGTGTTAACTGAGTTGGAGAAAAGGGCAAAGCCACAGGGTGACTGGCTCTCAGGAGTGAGGCGTGGGGAGCGGTGAACAGGAACTCCTGGGGTTCTTTCTGGTTTGGGTGAAGAGTAGCAGAACTGGAGGAAAGCAAGAGGGTGAATCCAACTTTGGAAATGTTGGTTTGAGCTCCCGAGGCTCCTTCACACGGATCCGTGGACCTCAGGGCAGAGGTCTCATGGGCAGTCCTCACCCTATGAGTGACGTGTAAGAAGGTGGAAGGAATAAAGAGAAAAATCTTGGCAACATGGAAGAGGTGAGAGGAGAAGCAGTAGAGACGTAAGCTAAGGGAGAATTCTAAGAGGATGATAGTGTTGGCTGCTGCAGAGAGTTCAAGAAAGATAAAGATGGAAAGAAAATGTATTTGAACTTTGCAGTAAGAAGGGATTGTTGACTTGGACGAGAGTGGTTTCGGTGGAGTGGTGGGGATGGAAGACCCACCACGTGGAGAGTTTTCAGGAAGCTTGGGTGTGGGAGGACATGGATTAGTGGTTGTTATGAAATGGAAGCATGCATGAGTGATGTCTTTGACCTGTAGAAGTTGACCTGACATTGTCGTTTATACACACTTTATGGGACTTGACCCTGGAAGAGCCTGCCTGGCCCTCATTTGCTTCTCTTCCCTGATACTGGTCTGTAATTTGGGGCACAGGGAGTAAAAGAGAGGAAAGAAATAGAGAGCAGGGTGGGAAAGAGAAAGGAAGAAGGCCAGACAGTTTCTGAGGTTACTTTTAGCTGCAAAATTCTGAATCAACCCAGTGTTTCTTCTCTGCCCTGCATCTGACCTGCTAACGCAGGTGGAGAACCCTACACCATTGCATCGGGGCCGGGAGGCGTTTCTCGTCCCTGCTCAGCTGTGTGGCCCGGACAGCAGCTGCCTCCTCCCTTCCCGCCTGCTCCTCTAACCTGTTGGTCTTCTCAGACTCTCTTCTCAGTGCTCCGTCCTCGTCTTCTGCCTGCTCCCTCATTTCCTGCTCTCAGAGGAGACCAAGTTCATCAGGCGGGAACCTGGAACCTCTCTGCAGCCCCTCACATCTCCATCTCACAGAGAGCGGTGTCCCTACTTCTCTCCAAGCTGGCCCTTCCAGCCTGGCCTTCTGGTCTTCTCACTTACCCTTGAACTAGGTTTCTCCCAAACCACTCCTTACCCTAGAAACTTTCTTAGGCGACCTCAGCTCCTCTTACAGCCTTGAAACTGCCACCGCCATGCCCCTGCCCATAAATTCTTTCTCTTGAGTCTAAACCTATCTTGTGAATTCGCAACCTTCGGGACATCCTCCCTTGGAGGTTCCATGGAACCTTCAGATGCAACAGGTTAATTCATCTTTGGTCACCTAAATCTGTCCCACCTCGTGTATGCTGGTACTGGTTACCATCCACTCCAACCATCAGCCTGGGAGGTGACTTCCTCTGTGGTTTCTCCACTTCCGGTCCTTTCCTCACCTTGCCACACATCTGATTATGTTTCTCGTCTGCTTAAAACCTTTTGGTGGTTAAATTTTGCTTTCTGAATAAATCTTAGCACCCTTTGCATCAGACCCCTCCTGACCCAATTCTTGCCCACCCTTCTAGCTTCAACTCTTACAAGCTCCCTCAGGCATCCCGGACCCCGCCCGCCCATCCTGAAGTTCTTGCAGTTCATAGAGCAGCCAGGGCTCTTCGTGCACATGCCTCTGCCTCTGCTTCATGCTGGTGAACTTCTGCTCATTCTTCAAGATCAGTTGTGCTTGTGATAAAGCCCGTGCAATTTGTCTACAAAGAATGTAATCTTTTTCACATCAACCTGTCCGTTTAGAGCCACCATATTCCTCATTTTTATGCTTTAGATGCTTCCTGGATGCTATCATTACCTGGTCATACTTAACTTAGGATAATTTAGTTTTATTCTCAGATCACTGACTTCCAAAATAATCAAGGATGGTAGAGGCCTTTTATTGTGAATTTAGATCTAGTACAGTTAGAATCAAAGTGCTGATTATTCCGAAGAAATTTGAAAATTGACACCCTCATGACTGCAGGTATAAAAAGAAGAGGAAATAGAAAAGTGTTTTGTTTGCATGTGTATAAAGAATCTATTAGAATAAATGAAATCTTTTATATATTAATTAATATATAAAATATACACATTAATATTAACATATAAAATATACATATTAATATACACACATAAAATATATACATTAATATTAATTAATATCAACATATAAAATATACATACTAATATTAATTAATATTAATACATACATTAATATTAATTAATATTAATATATAAGATACATATTAATATTAATTACACATTAATTAACATATTAATTAATCACCATTGCAATATACTTTTTCTACATATTAATTAATCTACATATTAATCACCATTGCAATGTACTTTTTCCTCTTTTCAGTCAAAATTTCTTTCCTCCTCAATACTTTATTTTGAGATCCTTAGAAAAAGAGGTACACAAATATTTCTAATAAGATTTGTAAGCATCTTTTAAAAAGCTAATAAAGAAGAGTTGTGGTAGTAGTACAGAGTATGTTGGAATTGGTTGTGGGACTTTTCAGTAAAAATCAGGAAGGCTTCAAAAGATGAGAGAAATCTTTTTTTTTTTTTCTTATTTTCATACTCAGGAAAGAGCACTGAAAAGAATAGAACTATATAAAATGATCAACATTTCAGGGCCTTATTTTCCGCTTTTGTTTCTTTTTCTTGAGGTGGAAAGTAGCTACAGTTGGCTATCAACCCTTGCGTTCTCTCTGTAAAAAATATTTTCATTCCTCTGATGTTTTCCAAGTGACCATTACTGCTGTATCAACCAACAGTGGGAGTAGGGATGACTCCAGTACAGCTTTTATTGCTCACTGTGAGGAAAAGCTAAAACATCTTCTGCCTGTACGCCTACAGCTACGTTTTTCTTAGCCTTCAGTAGGAAAACCTTTTAATTTCTATCTACCAACACTATGAACCATAAAAACATTCCTACGATTGCCCAGGTTCAGAGAACAAACTCAGCAAAGGCCTGGGTATTGCAACCAGCATAGCACGTGAGCAGTGAATAGCTGCTTAGCTGTACACACATACTACGCAGGAGCCCCTGGACGGGTGGGTGTTTGCCATGAGCACCACCCAGATGGGAAGACTGATCCAACCAAGTTCCTTTGGTGTTCATGCGCACTCGAGGGTCCTGGAGAGCAAACCGAAGCAGAGAGCTGCCTTTCTGGAGAATGAATCATTTATGTACTATTTATAATTTATATGGTTATAGTAAACATAGACAGCTATACCTATTCCCTGATCCTGTCAAAAAGGCAAAAAGATTTCTCTTTAAAAAATCCTTTCATATCAGGAAATATAAAATGCATACACAAAGTGTATAAGATAAAAATGTGCAGCTTAATTAATTAACACAGAGCATAAAAAAGAATAATGCCATTTGCAGTAACATGGACGGACCTAGAGATTATCACACCAAGTGAACTACACCAGACAGAGAAAGACAAGTATCATATGATATCGCTTATATGTGAAATCTAAAAAAAATGATACAAATGAACTTATTTACAAAACAGAAATAGACTCACAGACATAGAAGACAAATTTATGATTATCAAAGGGGAGGAGGGATAAATTAGGAGTTTGGGATTAAAATACACACACTACTATATATAAAATAGATAACCAACAAGGACCCACTGTATAGCACAGGGAACTAAATTCAATATCTTGTAATAACCTATAATGGAAGAGAATGTAAAAAAAGAATACATGTATATAAGTATATATATATATATATATGTATAAAACTGAATCACTTTGCTGTACACCTGAAACTAACACAACATTGTAAATCACTGTAAAAATTAAAAAAAAAAAAACCCACAGAGCACAGACCTTTGTAACCATTACTTTGATCAAGAAAGAATGAAGCCAGCACCCCAGTCCTTGCTGCCTCCTTCCCAATGCCCCCCACCCCGCCACGTAGGTACTCACTGTCTTGTCTAAAAGCCTTTTAAAGTGGGTGTCTACTTGTTTTCTGTGGGGCTGGCTGAGAGAAAGCAGAAGCATGGCCTTGGGGGCTGGGGTGTCTGTGGGCAGCTGCAGTTTGGTGGGATGGTAGCATGGCAAGCTATCTGCGTTTGTCACTGTTTCTCCCTCAGGCCCTAAGTCCAGGCATGGACTAGAGTCTGTTGTAATATCTGCTGTGCAGACTGCTCTTTGGAAAAGCTGCAATGATTCAGTCCTCCAGAGTGTGCTAAATTCCCAACCCCTCACTGGAACTTGACTCTGTGGACCTGCTATATATCTAACGCACAGTAGTAACTTGTTTCCACACAATTGCAGGACCTTAGCTTATTGCCAGTGGGTGGACAATCTCAATGAGACCCGGAAGATGCTCTCTCTTAGTGGTGGCGGTCCCTTCAGTAACCTGCTGAGGTGGGTCGTGTGCCACATTACGAAAGGAATCGTGAAACGCGAGATGCACGGCCACGGCATTGGCCGCTTCTCAGAGGAAGAGATTTACATGCTGATGGAGAAGGACATGCGGTCTTTAGCAGGGCTTCTGGGTAACGTACCATGTCTTCTATTCTATATTTTCTATCCTTACTTTTTGCATGATTAGTAAAGCACTGTTAGTTTACTGACTTAAAGTTTTATTTTTGTTCGTTTCTTTGCTTCCACATGTAGGTTGCAGTCACACCATTTAATCAAGTCCCCTAATTTTCAGGAGCACATGTCTCTTTTTTTTTTTTTTTTTTTTTTGTTTTTTGTGGTACGAGGGCCTCTCACTGTTGTGGCCTCTCCCATTGCGGAGCAGAGGCTCCGGACGCGCAGGCTCAGCGGCCATGGCTCACGGGCCCAGCCGCTCTGCGGCATGTGGGATCCTCCTGGACCGGGGCACGAACCCGTGTCCCCTGCATCGGCAGGCGGACTCTCAACCACTGAGCCACCAGGGAAGCCCACTTGTCTCTCTTTTTAATCACTAGAGCATGACTGTTTCTAGTGTGGCGTGGCCTCGTGTAAAGAGAACGTGGAACATGGTGTAGCATTACTAACTAGCTGTAAGTGATGCTGGCATTTCTGAATGTGTCGTGAGCCAAGGGGGATTTTGAGCAAGGAAGCTCTTCTATTTATAAACAGGTCAGGGTAAAAGGCTGTTTATAAACACATCTGCTCAGAAGATGCGACTGGGTACTGTCAACATCAAGCTAAGAGAGATGCTGACCCAGCCCGAGTACACGTGCAACATTTGACATTTTCTCACCTCTTTCATTTCCCTTTGTAATCCGAGTCCTCCTCTTATTAGCATGTTTTAACTCTTCTGATTTTGTATTTACTGCACCCAGTGGGTTTAGCTGTGTTGGGAAGCCTCTCAGAGAGAAGCACAGAGCGGCCTCTGTTCGTGGGTGGGTGAGGGTGCTTAGCCGAGTGACACTCCCTTGCTCACCTGGTCGGCTGGAGGTGGCTGGGCTGATGTGACTTTGTACTGGACAGAGTTTGCGTCTCAGCTCTGACAGATCACAAGCAGATCATTCGAATTCAGGAGCTTCAGTGTGTGGAATGACGGCCTCTCCTGGGAACAACTAACATGTACGGAGCCAAGGTCATAGGACCTAGTCTTTCGGGGCTGCTGGTTTTGTCTGGGGACAGTGGGTTTTCACTGACCCCCTCTCAGTACCCTCATTATCCATTCTGGAGCACACTGGGTACTTCACCTCCTCCAGGAAGTGGGGTTTGGATTTGTTCTGTTGAAACCTACCTGGTGCCGAGGAACGGGGGGCTGTGCTGGGTGTAACGACCCCTGTGCAGGGTGGCCCACTCTCACGGGCTTCTTCATGCTCTTCGCTCCACTTACTGGACCTGGAGTCCTCCCCTGAACATGGCCTGCAGGGGGAGAGCCCAACAGGGCATCCAGCTCTTGGCCAGCCTTGTCATGTTGGGGGTTTGACGCCGCTGGGCTCCTGCTCAAAATAGACACTCAGGAGTCCTGCCTGGCTTGGAGGTTGATGCTGTCTGGACCTCCTGGTGCTTTGCCTCCCTGGGCCCAAGTGAGCCTGCCTGATGTAGGTATGAATGGAATTTGCCTCGAGTTTACCTCGTTCCTTTGGAAACTTAGTATCAGACTCTCAGCCTCACACAGAGCAGGTGCACAGAGGGCCATTTCCTCCTAGCAGCAGCTCTGTCTGCTCCTGGCTTCCTTCCCAACTCACGCTGCTGGGAGTCCCAGAAAGCCAGGAGTGGAGACCCTGAAGTGATGACAGCTCATCTCTAACAACAGTGTTCGTTCCTTAACTAGAGTGGGGTGATCGTCTCCCTTCTATAGAGCATTTTTGGTTGGGAGAACCTGGGGGCAGGGTGATAGCAATAATAACGATAACGCCAGTGTCCCTCTGGTATTTAAAGACTCGGAAGAATGCTTCCACCCCAGTGATGGTGAGATGGGAGACAAGTGAATCACTGATGGCTAGGCTGTCAGTGGCAAGTATTCACAACAGCATCCCAAGTCCAGGTGATTTTCTAGGATGAGAAACTGAGTGGGTTACTTGCAAAGCTGGATTTTACTAGAGTTATATTCTGTACGGGGGCCCAGGGAGCAGTCTAGCTTTGAACTCTATCAGAGGAGAAGCACTTTTTCTGCATTTGGGGAGGGAGAGGCTCTGGGGCTGAACATCATAGTTTTTCTTACTAAATGAGGCAGAAAGCAGCGATTTCTCCCTTCACCCAGGGTTATAGCTTACTTTTTTTTTTTTTTTTTTTTGCGGTACGCGGGCCTCTCATTGCTGTGGCCTCTCCCGTTGTGGAGCACAGGCTCCAGACGCGCAGGCTCAGCGGCCATGGCTCAGCTGCTCCACGGCATGTGGGATCTTCCCGGACCGGGGCAAGAACCCGTGTCCCCTGCATCGGCAGGCGGACTCTCAACCACTGCGCCACCAGGGAAGCCCTGTATAGCTTACTTTTAATGTCCAGCTGCCTAAGAGACTCAAAATGCAAAATGACTTTGTATTGAATTATTTCAAGATTTGGGGAAATTGTCCAGGGATGTATTTGACTCATTAGGATAAATTAGTTATTGCTGTTTCAGTTCAACTGACTTCAGTGATTTGACACCTTCTATGTGCCAGGAGCTGGGAGATTGATTACAAAGATGAGTTAGAGCTTGTTCCCACTCTCAAGTGCCTATAGTCGAGTGGGAGGGATGAACCTATAAGCCAGGAGCAGGCAAATTACAGCCCATAGCTGGTGACCTATTGTTGTTGTTGTTTTGTTTTTTTAAATGGCCTGTGAGCTAAGAATCATTTTTACATTATTACAATGTAAGGAAAAAATCCAACAGAGATCAAATGTGGCCTGGGTAGTATCTACAGTTTTTACGATCTGACCCTCCATTGAAGAAGTGGTTACCACGCACAAGTGCACGAGTCGGGCTGCGGTAGGGCCTGTGATAGAGGTCTGTGCTCCCAGGGGCAAAGAGGCAGGAGGACCGTGCAGGGCTCTAGGAGAGGTGGCAGCAACTGTGTTGGCTCAAGAAAGTAAACAGTTGTCCCCATGCAGAAAATAAGGAAGGGTCTCCCAGGCAAATCACGAGAAAAGGAGTCCTGGGTGAGGGGCATTTTGGGATCATGGTTGAAATGAAGATCAAAAGGTAGTTGGGGCCATATTATAAAGGGTAATAATTATCATGCTCAGAGATGTATACTTTATCATACAGGAAACACGGAGGTGGGAGAGCCTGACAGCATAGCTGGACAACATGAAAAAATGATATCTTCATGTCGGAAAGGAGGAGTCAGAATTATTATTTACTGAAATTAAGAGATTAAGTAGCTAAAATAATGGAGAATCAACTAAAGTTATAACAGCTAATGGGAGTGTCCAGTAAGTCTGCAAAGGTTACAAGCATGCAGACATCTATAGTTTTCTTGAGTATGCCAAATAAGCAATTAGAAAATATAATTAAAAAAATCCATTCACAATGGCAATAAAAATTTCAAATATTAGAAATAGAATTTGTCAGAAATATTTAGTATCTAGAGAAATAAAAATAAACAATCCTAATAAGAGAGAGAAGGATTTTTAGAAAATGGAGGGTGTACCTTGATTGATTGATTGATTGACTCATTCGAGAGTGATGACCCGAGAGCCAGAGGCAAACCCCAGCTTCCTCACTAACTAGCTCTGAGACCCTGGGCACATTTCTTAACTTCTCTAGGCCTCAGTTTCCTTATGTTTGAAATGGGGACAATCACCACGAGAAGAAAAGTAATACATGTAAAGTGCTCAGAACGGTGCGTGGCATGTTGGAAGCAATTAAACAGCAAGCAAGTTAAAGTACAAGGAGAAGAGGAAATTCAGGAAGGAGAGGTTCAAGGTGCTGTGAGAGCTGATAAGGGGGTCGCCTAGTGGTCAGTGCCAGTCCCTGTTTAGTTCTGCGTAGTCCCCTGACCCCTCTTTTACTTTTTAAAATAAATTTATTTATTTATTTATTTATGGCTGAGTTGGGTCTTTGTTGCTGCGTGTGGGCTTTCTCTAGTTGTGGTGAGCGTGGGCTACTCTTCCTTGCGGTGTGCAGGCTTCTCATTGTGGTGGCTTCTCTTGATTCGGAGCACGGGCTCTAGGTGCATGGGCTTCAGTAGTTGTAGCATGTGGGCTCAGTAGTTGTGGCTCACGGGCTCTAGAGCGCAGGCTCAGTAGTTGTGGCCCATGGGCTTAGTTGCTCCGCAGCATGTGGGATCTTCCTGGACCAGGGCTTGAACCCGTGTCCCTTGCATTGGCAGGCAGATTCTTAACCACTGCGCCACCAGGGAAGCCCGACCCCTCTGTTTAAAGCAGAGATACCCTCCACGTAGTAGGTGCTTGATTGTCACCTCAGGCAAGAAGGGCACACGTTGTCTATTTCCATCCTCCGCCCCAAAGGGTAAGAGTCTGAAGAGAATGAAAGATGTAAAAATTAAAAACAAATGTTAGGTTTTGGGAAGCAGTGTGGGTGGAGGCAGACAGCCTTGTGGCCGCACAGGAGGGAGTTCTGGAGTCAGATCCCTGGGCTCAGACCTTGGGCTCCACCACTTGCCAGCTGTGCAACTTCACATGAATAACTTGTTTTTTTCACCTGTAAAATGGGGGTCGGAAGCTAGAGAGTGTGAGGACTAAAGGTGCTAATTTATGCAATATACCTACTACAGTGTCTGGCACATAATAAATGCCAAATAAGTATTAGCTATGACCATTATCACTTTTACAGATTTTGTATGTAATACAAGTTCACTAGGAACATTGTTTTCTGGGGAAAAAAATGTTTGTGAAGAAAATCTTTTTTCTGATTTTTAAATTTATTAGTTAATTATAGAAATTTGAGGGACTTCCCTGGTGGTGCAGTGGTTAAGAATCTGCCTGCCAGTGCAGGGGACACAGGTTCAAGCCCTGGTCCAGGAAGATCCCACATGCCGCAGAGCAACGAAGTCCGTGTGCCACAACTACTGAGCCTGCACTCTAGAGCCCACGAGCCACAACTACTGAAGCCCACGTGATACAACTACTGAAGCCCGCATGCCTAGAACCTGTGCTCCAC